AGACATACAAGATTATTCGAAATGGCTACTCCTGTAACCTTGACATCTTCACCTTCAATAACAACCCCCATCTACGAGGTCATACTTTGAAGTTGTGCAAGGAAAAAACCGCCAAGCTTCCAAGAAGAAACTTCATAGCAAATCGAATTGTCTACCCATGGAACAGCCTGTCAAATTCTACAGTCACCGCCCAGAGTCTGAATTCTTTCAAGAATAAGGTCGACACCGATATGAGTGCATTACTCCATGTGGATATTCATTATGGACAATAAGTTCTTACCAAAAACACGACGATAAACTTACAAGTAATCCAATAGTTTCATCAGTGTAAACTGCTTACTATTGTATCATAATAATAATAATAATAATAATAATAATAATAATTAAAAACAAACAAAATAGTATATTGTTGTATTAGGAGTAGAAGCTTTACTTTTTTGTGCTGAAGCAGTAGGTTTGCGAGCCGAACGTAGTGAGGCTTGCAATGGACCTTTCTCATGCAATGAACAACAAGGATAGTTTATTAAGATTTCTGCAATAAAGAAAAAGACACATATAATGACGCACGATACCTGTGTGGAATGACTTTGATTGGTTCCACTTGTCAAATTGTGCAATTTCGGTTATGTTTCTGTTTTTGTTTATTATAAACGTAAATATGACAAAATACGTATTAACATTAATTAGAAAGAAAACCCACCGCAGCAAAAATGTTTGCAGCAAACCTTTAATTGTACATTATTGTCATTATTATTGTATTTGATTTAAAAATCGTTATTTTACGAACCCGCAAATCTCTGTCTCAACTTAAATCGTCTTCATTCGGGTTGAGAGCACGTAACTATTGTTTTCTTACAATTTGATTGCTTGGGAACTTGTGAAAAGAAAGGTTTGACTTCTTTTTCGCCTAATTCTGACAAGAACTCATCCAACTCATTTGAACCATTGTATCATAAACAGTTTTTGTAATAATTTTCAGCAATATTGGTTGATACTGATTGATTATTGAGGTTAGCTTAAATACGTCAGGGTCAGACCGTGTTCAGTAAATTGACGATTTAATTATTTGTCACCCACAAGATGCGCGCGCAGCACAGGTAAAAAGAGAAAGGTCCATACTGCTGAAGCACAAAAAAGTGCTTCTACTCCGTATGCAACACGCTATTTTTTTTCCAAACGAATGGGGTGAGCTCGGGGGTAACTGAATGGTTGAGCGGCAGTAAAAGTACGAGCGGCACTAAAAGTACTTCTACTGCCGCTGCGGTTGCCTAGCAGCATAGAAATTAAATTTCTACCACCTCGACAGGTGTTAACCCGCTGGATTTGTCTAGCAGCATAGAAATTAAATTTCTGACATCTTGACAGGCGTTAACAAAGTGACGTTTTTTTGTCGTTTGGAGAAAAATAGTTATTTATGTATCAAGGGAATTATGCAGGTGTTAATACCCCAGGGCAACGTTTGTGTCCCGAGGGCCTCCGGCCCGAGGGACACCAATTGCCCGTGGGTATTAACTCCTGATAATTCCCGTGGTACATAGATAATTTTATATCCTACTGAATTTACTGTATTCTGTCTATTTTTATAAAGGAATAAGCCATAAATCAAAATTTCTATTTTTTGTCAAAGTGTTACCTATTCAAGGTAAAAGCGGGAGTTATGGAAATCCTTAACTCCCTTGGGAGTTATGATATCCTTAACTCCCTTCCTTAACTCCCTTGGGAGCTATGAAAATCCTTAACTCCCTTGGGAGTTAAGACCCTGTTTATGATTATCGTAACCAAGGTATTATATGGTTTTAATAGTTCAGTAGGATATAATAGTTATTTATGTATCAAGGGAATTATGCAGGTGTTAATACCCCAGGGCAACGTTTGTGTCCCGAGGGCCTCCGGCCCGAGGGACACCAATTGCCCGTGGGTATTAACTCCTGATAATTCCCGTGGTACATAGATAATTTTATATCCTACTGAATTTACTGTATTCTGTCTATTTTTATAAAGGAATAAGCCATAAATCAACATTTCTATTTTTTGTCAAAGTGTTACCTATTCAAGGTAAAAGCGGGAGTTATGGAAATCCTTAACTCCCTTGGGAGTTATGATATCCTTAACTCCCTTCCTTAACTCCCTTGGGAGTTATGAAAATCCTTAACTCCCTTGGGAGTTAAGACCCTGTTTATGATTATCGTAACCAAGGTATTATATGGTTTTAATAGTTCAGTAGGATATAATAGTTATTTATGTATCAAGGGAATTATGCAGGTGTTAATACCCCAGGGCAGGCCCGAGGGACACCAATTGCCCGTGGGTATTAACTCCTGATAATTCCCGTGGTACATAGATAATTTTATATCCTACTGAATTTACTGTATTCTGTCTATTTTTATAAAGGAATAAGCCATAAATCAAAATTTCTATTTTTTGTCAAAGTGTTACCTATTCAAGGTAAAAGCGGGAGTTATGGAAATCCTTAACTCCCTTGGGAGTTATGAAAATCCTTAACCCCCTTGGGAGTTAAGACCCTGTTTATGATTATCGTAACCAAGGTATTATATGGTTTTAATAGTTCAGTAGGATATAAAATATTTTATATAAAATATTTTATATCCTACTGACCTATTAAAACCATATAATACCTTGGTTACGATAATCATAAACAGGGTCTTAACTCCCAAGGGAGTTAAGGATTTTCATAACTCCCAAGGGAGTTAAGGAAGGGAGTTAAGGATATCATAACTCCCAAGGGAGTTAAGGATTTCCAGAACTCCCGCTTTTACCTTGAATAGGTAACACTTTGACAAAAAATAGAAATTTTGATTTATGGCTTATTCCTTTATAAAAATAGACAGAATACAGTAAATTCAGTAGGATATAAAATTATCTATGTACCACGGGAATTATCAGGAGTTAATACCCACGGGCAATTGGTGTCCTGGGGTATTAACACCTGCATAATTCCCTTGATACATAAATAACTATTATATCCTACTGAACTATTAAAACCATATAATACCTTGGTTACGATAATCATAAACAGGGTCTTAACTCCCAAGGGAGTTAAGGATTTTCATAACTCCCAAGGGAGTTAAGGAAGGGAGTTAAGGATATCATAACTCCCAAGGGAGTTAAGGATTTCCATAACTCCCGCTTTTACCTTGAATAGGTAACACTTTGACAAAAAATAGAAATTTTGATTTATGGCTTATTCCTTTATAAAAATAGACAGAATACGGTAAATTCAGTAGGATATAAAATTATCTATGTACCACGGGAATTATCAGGAGTTAATACCCACGGACAAACGTTGCCCTGGGGTATTAACACCTGCATAATTCCCTTGATACATAAATAACTATTTAAAGGACTGACATATTTGCGCCAGTGCCACGGCCCCTTGGCCCTTTAGTGACAGCCGCCACTGCCTAATTATATTAGGTAGCATTAGTCAATAGGTACTAAAGTCTGATTTCTTTTTATTGATTGATATAAACCTAATCAACAAGACCCCATTATTGGAAAACAAATACTACAAACAACTGATACTTTATTAATAAAAAAACCCAATTTTAAATTTGAAAAAATTCAGAACAAGACTTCAAACAATCTTTTCACAATTCCCTTATAATTTTTAGTGTCAAGTTTTTCTTGCGAATTTTTCATTTCTTGTTCCAATTGTTTTTGTTTGAATACAGTTAAAGGATCATCAAATTGTTTATAAAACTTTAGAACATCCCGGACATCATCAATCTTATTTTCAGCTATTGTATGAAGGAAATATGTTAAGTCCACCAAAGTATTATCGTCATCTTTGCCTATCCATCTATCAATAACAAAATGATTTTCTCCATGAAGTTTTACTGATTCAGTATCCCAGTCAATCATAATCACTTTCTTTAGATCTCTATTTAGTTTATCAAGATTTTTTACATGATGACCGTCAATGAAATGGGTACAGTCTCTAACAAGCTTGAAAGAAATCAAACCTCTACTATCTAATGCATCAATGAGTGGAAATACAGTTATACCAGGTTCATGAGTGTAAACAACAATTTCATATGTGCCAGCCAAATTTTCTAGGAGATGATCTACTCCAGGGCGCTTTTTAAATCTCCATCCTGTTTGATAAGTCCATTCTGGATGTGCTAGGACATCTGTGAACTCTAAAACTAATGTATATGGCGGTTGGTAAAAAGGATAAGCAAGTGGATCTGGTAAAAGTTTCTCTCTTGAAGGTTCACGAAGAAATGCTGCAAACTGGTGTATTTGCTTTAGTCCTCTGAAAAAATATTGCTTCCACGAGGGTAAATCAGAAAACTCATCAAAAATTAGTTGTCCGTTTTCATCTCTGTCTGGTGCTCCGTAGTTGATAAATAAAAAAGAACTGAAGGCAACAAATGCACTAGCTAAACCCAATAATGTATACTTCATATTCCTTATTGACTTATCCTTTTCTTCTTCTTCATTTGTTGCCTCGACACCCACTTCACTGCCTATTACATGTTCTTGATTAATAAATTTCTTTTCCATATTTGTTATCATTGTGGATGAGGTGGAAGATGAGGTTGAAGAAGTTCTACTTTCCGAATCATCAGAAACAAATTGTCTGAACATCAATGCATTTGGAAGTTGAGCGGTAAAGTAAATACTTGAGTAAATATGATTAGGTTTTACATATTTCTTGCTGATTCTTGAAATGTTTGTACCCAATATTCGCCAAGACATAACGAAAAACTGTTTTGTTGTTCTAAATTTTGAATTTTTTGTGACCACCCACATGACAGTTTGTGACTGGCAAGTGGTGCAATTATTTCCATAGTTGATGTTGTTGAGGTTCACTTGAGGTTTTAGAAATCTCAATGGTTTTGAAATTCGCACTGGTTTATCCTTGCTTTCGTGGTTATCAGCTTGATAATTTAGATTTACAACATAAGCCATAAGCAAAGTGGAAAATTGTTCAGAAAAAAAGGTGGTAAAGTTTTCGAAAAGTTGAATTTGCTTACCTTATCAAAATTTTGACACAGTGTTTCGGCTGCTTCAGAAACTGCCCAATCTTCTGAGCCTGATATCTTAAATAAAGCCATTGCCGTTAACGTTGTTATTCACTATTTTTTAATTAAATGAGCTTTAAATTCAAATTAAATGCAGAACCTATGAAAATTCAAAAATTTTTAATTTTTGAGGTTATGTTTATGATTTAAAAACGTGACACTTCGGGATTTACTGCAAAACATGCACTAGGATTGTCTTTTTCCATCACGTTTCATGAAAAGAGATGGATTGGATAGGGAGAAAGTAATATCGGGCTTTAGGCTTTTCAGAGGTGCTTTCCAGTGATCTACAGTGACTCTATGTAAAGGCTTATTTAGCCACTGTACAGTGATCCACTTGAGTCCTGAGCAGCTCAGGAGTACTCCGCATTTACTGGCGCCGTTCCAGTGCTTGGAGTGTCATGCACTTGAACTTCTCATTTCTGTTATCCCCTGCCCTCTCGTGCACCTACCATAGTTTCGGTGTTTCATGCTCCGAAATTATGCGGGATAGGAAAATTCAGGTTATTTTCATTCGGTTCCTTCGAGAGTGTTCCAGTGCTGCTTATGACCAATAGTTCAAGAGCGTCACACTCCAGGAGCATGATACTCTTATAATTCGTGCACTAGGAAGCAGCTCAGTTCTAAAGGGTGCGTTCATGAGCATGAACAATCGTCAACGGAAAATTGTTCGAAAATATTTGTTCGAAAGAAAATTGTTCGAAAGAAAATTGTTCGAACGGAAAATTGTTCGAATGGAAAATGGTTCGAACGGAAAATTATTGTTTGAACGGAAAATTATTCGAACAGAAAATTGTTCGCACGGTAAATTATTCGAACGGAAAATTGTTCTAGAATAATTGTTCGAACGGATTTTTTTTTTCCGAAAAATCAATAGTTTAACTTTGAATCGTAAATGACGGTAAATGAATCTATAACCGGTGGAGTTACCCAATTCCTTAATTTTTGATATTTGTCTCTAATTCTTGGTTTTTTAAATTCAATATCTACATACAAGGACTAGCACGCATTAGGTGGACGGATGTTTGGGTTAGTTTGTATATTTTTGGTTAGTTTCGTTTCGTCACAGTTTGTTTAATACTGGTTAAAAGCGCACTGCTTGACAATAGACGATTACACAGAAAAAAATTTGACTGGTACCCGTTACTTTTTTCCCATGGGAGAAAAAGTGACATTTTTGCCCCTGTGAACAGGTATAAAAAGTCTACTTTTTTCCCGTCACAGAAAATAGTATATTGTTGCATTAGGAGTAGCAAATTCACTTTTTTGTGCTGAAGCAGTGGTTTGCGAGCCGAACGTAGTGAGGCTTGCAATACTGCTGAAGTACAAAAAAGTGCTTGTACTCCGTATGCAACACGCTATTTTTTCTCCAAACGAATGGAGTAAGCTCGGGGGTAAGTGATTGGTTGAGCGGCAGCAAAAGTACGAGCGGCACTAAAAGTAGGTATACTTTTTCTGCCGCTGGGGTTGCTAAGCAGCATAGAAATTAAATTTCTACCACCTCGACAGGTGTTAACCTGCTGGATTTGCCTAGCAGCATAGAAATCAAATTTCTGACATGTTGATATACATAAAAAATGTCTGACATATAAATTTAGGATTATAGTAGTATGTACAGGGTGTTTCCTTATATTTTGACCCTTACCTAGAGCTTTAGCTATACGAGGTGGAAAAACACTTTAAATATGAAAGTTGTAGAGTTTTATAATGTCTATTCTATTATCTTTTTTGAATGTCAAAATGGGCAAATGACAGGTGCCAACTGTCACAATGACAAAACTTGCATTTTTCAAATGTAACCATCTGTATATTTTTGGCTAGAATGATAGATTTTTTTCTTCTGATTCCAAATATAGGTAGGTACCATATACATATGTTGATATTTGGTTTAGCTGTTTTTACACTATTCAAGTTTAAAAATGCATTTACATTTCTCTTTATTTAATCTGTCCTGCTGCGGAACCACGAACAATCGCTATCGATAAGTTATCGACAAGTTCTCACCTCGTCCACCCATCGCTCAACGTTAGTCGCCAAAATTGCCACCGCAAACGTTCGTTTGCACCGCAAGTGTTCGTTTGTGATGGCAATTTTGGACCTAAACGTTGAGCGATGGGTGGACGAGGCGAGAAATGAGGGGAAATGGGCTCTTTCACTAAAATTTAAATACGTAATTTAGGTATAAAATCCCAAAGGAGGGACTATTTTAGGCACATATACCAAAAAAAATGTTCTACAAGGTTAAATAAGTTTTTTACAGGCATTTTAAACTACCAAAATTTGAATTATTTAAAAACGCGCCGATTTGCTGACGTCGCATAAATATTTTTCATTTCGCTTGTTGTTGCAAACAGCTGTCCGCCTCTGCTGTATTTATCCTGTAGTAAATGCAGGTAAAGGTTCGAATGCGCTGTTGTCGGTGGTGACTAAATGTAGTGCAACGTAAAATAAATAAATAAAACTAAACATAGAAAATTATATTAAATTGTGTTTAAGCATAATTTCAATAAAAATGTTATAAAATCTTGAATCCATAACTAATTAATTTAACTACTTTTCATGAAATTTTGCGAACATTTCAGAATTAAATCTATTACAAATTTTCAATGTTGACAATTAGTGGCAACACGGTCAAATAGCGAGCTGCGACGTCATAGAAATAAATTCTGGGTTTTTATTTGGAGGTATTTCTTTTTTTTCTGTTTTCTCAAGAAGGACTATGAATTTTTCAAAAGTAAAAATACAGAAAATTCTGTTTTTAGTTGCTTTATCCAAATATGCCAATTTCAAAAATTAGTGAAAGAGCCCATTGTCGAAAACTTATCGATAGCGATTGTGTGTGGTTCCAGTGCTAGTTTCTTATATCAATGATGAGGCTTGCTCAATGCAATTTTAAAATTCTAGCCAAAAATATACAGGGCATTCCGTTCGAAAAATGCAAGTATTTGTCATTGTGACAGTTGGCACCTGTCATTTGCCCGTTTTGACATTCGCAAAAGATGATAGACATAAAACCCTACAACTTTCATATTTAAATTTTTTTTCCACCTCGTATAGCTGAAGCTGTAGGTAGGGGTCAAAATATAAGGAAACACCCTGTACAGGGTGGTCCAAATTGGACACTTTCTTATGGAAACACCCTTTATTTTTAGAGATAGAAAAAAATGGACCCCCCACTCTGAGGCTCAAATTACATGAAATCTTGATTGGTGCAAACCGCATTTTGATATCTTCAACCGTTTAGCCGCTGTAGGGCGATTCTCGATTTTGAGCAATACTGTAAAGCCTCCATAACTTTTTTGTTTATGAAAATAATTCATTTCCGTAAAGACCTTTTGGAAGCACTTTTTCAAGCAGAATTCAGTGACGCTCTCAGTTTTTTTCTGTCTGGCTTTGATTTCGAGATATTGACCAAAATTCGATTTTTTTCAATAGGACACCCTATATATTAATAGTTCATTAGAAAGCTATGCTTTCGCTGATTTCAATGATATAAAGTTCGATAGGTTTATCCCTAACAGTTTTCTTATGACAAAAACCGGAATAATTTTTTTTCTCGAAAACTGTTAAAGATAAATGTATCGAACTTTATCATTGAAATCAGCGAAAGCATAGCTTTCTAATGAAATATTAATATATAGGGTGTCCTATTGCAAAAAATCGGATTTTGGTCAATATCTCGAAATCCAAGTCAGACCGAAAAAAACTGAGAACGTCACTGAATTCTGCTTAAAAAAGTGCTTCTAAAAGGTCTTTACGGAAATAAATTATTTTCATAAACAAAAAAGTTATGGAGGCTTTACAGTATTGCTTTGGTATTGCTCAAAATTGAGAATCGCCCTCTAGCGGCTAAACGGTTGAAGATATCAAAATGCGGTTTGCACCAATCAAGATTTCATGAAATTTCAGCCACAGAGTGGGGTGTCCATTTTTTTCTATCTCTAAAAATAAAGGGTGTTTCCATAAGGAAGTGTCCAATTTGGCCCACCCTGTACATTTTTTTTTTTTTTTTGTGTAAAGTTAAAAAGGGAAATATACGCATTTCTGGTAGAAGTTTCTTCTGGAAATAAATTACTATTATTATAGTTGTAATCCTTTCACACCTAGGTTCTAGTGGGGGGGGGGGGGGGGGGGGTACGCGCTTATTCATTTCGACAAGTGTCTGTTCCTTTCAAATCGGAGTCGATTAACACCGGAGCGAGTAGCTCTAGTGGTCTAAACTCTTGAGACGAATACAACTATTTGTTTTGGGACATCAGAAGCTTATAAAATCTGAAATAGAAAATAAGGGTCCGTATTTAAACAAATGAAATTGATGATAAGATCCCAAAAGCGAAACGTTGGATAAATAACAGCATCTTGTGGAGGAGGAAAAGGCAACGATAAAGTGTCATTTTGAAATATCTCTTCAAATATGGTCAGCAAAAAATAAAAAATCATTTTGGACAAATTTCGTTTTTTTCCAGATATCTCCGGTAGCACTCGGAATTTTCAAAATATCAAAGCGCTATTTTATTGAGCACAAAGTTGCACAACTTTTCTCTAATTCAAGTGACATCGTATCTTTTACCATTTACCAGATCCCCATACTGGCTGTCCTTATCTTGGAAACATTGTATAGGATTCTGAAGTTGCTTCCCATAAATTAAAGACAATACAAAACTACAAAAAAAAATTACTTTTAAGTATATTTTGTTATATTATGAATACCGAATTCCAGTAAAAAGAACATAAAAACTTAAATGAAAACAAACATTCAATCCTTTTCAGCAATAGCAGTAAGATGTCTGTCAATCTCTTGTTCAGTTAGGACAGTGAATTTGGGCTTTCTAATAGACACAGCTGCAACCTCTATATCACTAGGCTTAAAGTCCACAGCCAACACACTAGACAGACAGCTGATGGCCAATTGGATAACATCATCTTCTTGCAAATCTTGCTTCTTTTTCAGTTTCTTCTCCAAGAAGCTGTTTGCTTCAGTTTGCTTAGCACCAACCGCCACAGCACGGTAGCCGCAATAATAGCCTGCAGGATCAGTTTTGTAGATGCAAGGACCCATCTCCTCATCATAGCCAATGAGAACCATGGAACAACCTAGGGGACGCATTTCAGCGTTTTGGGTGTAAACCTGCAATTTTTATTGTGTATAATATTGAATGTTTTTAATTTTGAAAAGTTTACTTGGGACATATCAGCTACTCTTCTGCACAATGCATCAATGGGCATTTCATATGCGTTCTTGTATTTGAAATTGGCAGCTTCATATCTGGCCCTCTGCACTTGAGATTTGCTGTCTGCTAGCATTCCAGTCATAACACATCCAACATTATCTGTTAGCTGAATATAATAAAATTATTATTTTAGAAGTTGGGGTTCTAACTAATATACATATAAATGTAGGCATTCTAACTTCAGTGAATTACAGTAATTAGTGGTTGATGTGATGGAGTTTTTTGTGAATATGATTGTATTCATGATAGCATAGGAGCCCAAGGACAAGATATTCTTTGGAAAAGCAAATTTTGTTTATTACCTGATATAAATGTGTTATGGTTTTGGCATCAATAAGCTTATCAGGGACTTTTCTTTGGGTCACACAAACTGCTGTATCAACCCCTTTGACTGCTACCGAAGTAAGACCGGCTTGGTTTATCGCCTTAAAAGCATATTCTACCTGGTATAAGCGACCTTCTGGTGAGAATATAGTGATGTGACGATCAAAACCAGCACTACTTCCCCGGGACATCGTTGAAGAATGGTTTATTTAATTGTTAATTCGAATTATTAAAGAACAATACAAAATTCACACAAAATTGCTTGCAAGGATGATTGTGGTGTTTTTGAAATGACAAATGAATGACACAAATGGAATAATAACATTTGACATTGAATTTCTTTTTCTTGTCAAATGTTTTGTGAGCTGCGTTCGATATCGGTATATGAAAACACACAGCTGCAGCTGCTGCTCGGAGTCACCTGCCTAGTACTCATAACGGCGAAATTCGCACTTTTTTGATATTGCTTCGAGAAATTGACGTTTTATGCGTGAATCAAACGTAAAATTGTCGAAGCAATTTCAAAAAAGTGCGAATTTCGCAGTTTTTCGCATACCTCAACTCTTGGCGTAAAATGCATTATCCGAGTTTAAAACACTATAGGTTAAAAAAACGAATTCCCAAACGTTATAATCACCTTTCCTACATTTAAAATCAACGAAAGAAATAATTCACACACAAGCACAGCCTGAATTGAACGCGATCAATCGAGGTCTGCGGATGACGTCACCGCTATCAACTGCTGATAGTGGTGAGTGGTGACGTCATCCGCAGAGGAACTGTCGACTCAAGATGGAACGGGCGAACGTCCGCCTAGGTTGAGCAATCGCAAGGTTCCTGCAGTTCTTTGAAACAACCTTGGAGCAATCCTATTTGGTGCTCCATCATAATAATATGTGGATCCAGTGCACGGAGTGAGCAATCCGATTCCCTGCTCGTGTTAGGTATTTCGCCGTTGTCACAAATGTGACAACCATGACAGGATGAACAAATTGTCAAATTAATTTCTTTTCAATCCTTTCCTAACCTCATATCTCACATTTTAAAAATAAATATTTGCCTTTGCACAGAAAACGAAACCTTTGGTGGTAAAACAGTTTATCTCTTCAATTAACATTTTTTTTTATTTGAACAGAGCACAATGGCACAGTTTCTTTGCTTAGCAGTGATTTTGTTCATCAGTGCCATCCTCGGTGCCATCCAAGTAGATGCGGTGAATATCAAAATATCCATTTATACAATATTGTACTTACTTTTTAGAATTAGGTATCTAATATCGTGCCTTTTTAGAGTAGTCTAGAGCATGATGGATCCGTGGTTATAAAGCTACAACATGCCTTGAACGGTGGACCCAATCCTGTATACACTGAACGAGGCACCCTTACTATCCATAGCTTACGTCTTGGTCAAGCTATTATAAGCCAAAAACCACTTTCAGAAGCTGACAAAAAGCAAATACAGGTAATAATCTTACATTGGAATATTAGGGTTTAAAGTCAAGCCTGTAGTTTAACAGAACACCATTTAAAAGAACACGAGCCCATAGTCTTACAGGGTTATTATGTCGTATCTTGTTACACAAGAAATATTTTTAAGGGTGGAGGTTCCATAATTTTTGCAAAAGATAGCATCGAATGTAAGACTATTGATAAATATAACTGTCTTAATAATGAAAAACATTTTGAACTTGCCTGTGCTTATGTACAGGGTGATCCAGTATAAAGTGAACACCCCCTACCTTTTCGCTAAAAATTTTTTTTTTGAAAAAATCAAGATAGCCATTTGGTGTATTTTGTTTTTAAGAATTTGAAAAAGTTTTTCGAAATTAAATTAGATTTTCCGTCAAAGCGCTGTGACGACAAAAGTAATTTTTTTAAATGGAATAATCTATATTTAAATTCATTTTCTAAACGCCCTTATTTTCCTGACTTTAAATATAAGGTACCTGTCCCAAATAAGGCCATGTTAAGAAATTTTATTTTTTCTGAACACTATCCACCAAAGCCGACAAAATTCACGAGCTTATATGTGAAGTGTTTCGCTTCTATTACTTGAATATTAACCCCAATTTATTTATTTTTACATATAAGTGGTGGTTTTTGCGTAAAACAAAGACCCTTGCCATTGGCCTTATTTGTACCACTATGCTCCTAATAAGGCCATCAATAAAAAAAATTTAAAATAAATAGAATAATTTATGAAAATATTATTTTTTGACAAAAAGTTCTCAAAATAGAACTTCAACGTTTGCTGCATTCTAAAAAAACAATAATAATAATAATAATAATAATAATAATAATATTTATTATCTCCAGAAAAATTACATTCCAAACAGTTAACTAAGATAAATGTGGGAAATAATAGGCCATATTTGCAGCATCCCACGCAAGCATGAGTGCTGTTGAGGCTGCAAAAAATTGCTTAAAATAAAATATAAAGAAAGGCTTATCTAAGATCTATGAATATGAAAATCAAGTAACGCACTTGATACTTAAACTGTAAGACGAAGAAAGAAAAGAAGGAGGTGGAAAAATAGAGAAAAGAAGGAAAGAAAAGAAAAAGAAAAAGAGGGCACATGGTAGAGAATAATATATATATATGTACTAGAGCGGAGAATAATATTAAAGCAGATAGGAATTTCATAATGTACCCAATTATTTAAGTGCAGGAAATTAAGGGCGATTTATCTAGAGCAGGAAATATAATATATTATATTTTAAATTAGTTTTAGTTTCATTCTTTTTTTAAAAACACCAACAGATGTAGAAAAATCAATTATTTCATATTTGTTAATGAGTGAGGCAATGGTATAGCTGAATGACTTTTTGAAGAATTCTTTATTGTGAGACGGTATTGTCAAAAGCTGTTTCCTGCGAATGTTTAAATTATGAATGTCAGTTCGATATTTGATTTTATTGTGTAGGTATGGTGGAGTTTTAAATTTTAATAATTTATAAAAGAAGCATAGTGAGTGCAGACTACGCCTGTTAAACATACTTAACCAGCCCAATTCATTCAGTTTGTGTGAAACTCGGTCTCTTCGTCTTATTCCACACGCAAACCTAATGCAAGAGTTCTGAACCTTTCGGACTCTCCTAACATCTATCGAATCCAAAAAAGGCCCATATAGGTGATCGCAAAAATTAAAATGCGAGAGAATTAAAGAGTCGCAAAGCAAAGTTTTAGTTCTTTGACAAAGATAGTGTCTATGAGAGTATAAACCCCTCAAAACTGAATATGCTCTTTTTAAGCAAAGTGTTATGTGTTCTTTAAATTTGAGTTTGCTATCCATGACAAGTCCCAAGTTTTTAGCCGAATTTTTAAATGATATCATGTCTTGTCCTAGATTTAGTTCAATATTGCCTAAAAAATAAAATAAAAAAATAAAATAAAATAATCTTTATTGCATGTAAAAATTACCATACAAAGGTGGAAAGTACCGCCAGGCGTATTTTAATAACCACCCTTTGCTATAATAATAAAATCTGAAACACTTAAAATTAGAAGTTAAAATTAACAACAGAGATAAACATTAGTTACAATAAATAAAAATAATAATAAAAACAATATCACAAAAAAAAAAAAAAAAAAAAGGTCCAGCATTACAAAGCAATTAGCAGTAGGCACCAATTTAAAATTAAAGACTGAGTGATCTATCCGACACAAAGCGTTTTAAATTATTTTTGAAAGAATAAACACTTAGACCCTTGAAATTATGAGGAAGGGAGTTGTAAATCTGGGCAGACAGATATGTGAAACAAGATTTAAAAAATTCGGTACGATGATGTGGAATTGATATGGCATCTCTGAAACGAACATTCACCTGGTGCCTATCACCTCGCTGAATTATTAACTCGGTTAGATATGCAGGTTCTTTCAATTTCAAAGTTTTGTGTATTTGGCATCCCAGATGAATATATCGTCTCTGAGCCATACCATGCCCAAATACTTCAACAACATGGTTACTTACATGTTCCCTTCTACACAAACATCTCACGTACCGCACACAAGCATTCTGCACTTTTTGTACTCTATACTTATTGAGATTTGTAAGGAACGGCCCGTAAACCACATCTAGATACCCCGGAATAGACAGCACCAAACTTTCAGTCAAGAGTTTTTTAACATTAGATGAAAGTGTGTTTTTGAATTCATAGATAAGTTTTAATTTGTAATATGATCTTTGGCATATATTACTAACATGTGAGTTAAATGAAAGTTTTCTGTCCATATATAGTCCGAGGTTCTTCACTTCATCGGCCCATTCAATTGCAACACCGTTAAGGGTAATATGGTGAGAAGATAAATCAATATCGGTCCGCGAAAACAGTATAGCTTGTGTTTTGTTGGGATTTATAAGAAGAGAATTATCAGAAGTCCATTCTGATATATTTTGTAGATCCACATTGATCATTTCAATAGTGTCAGAAAGATCAGCCGGGGATGTTGGAAGATAAATTTGAAGGTCATCTGCATACATGTGATATTTACAGTGAGATATTCGCTCTACAAGATCTGATGCGAAGATTGTGAAAAGAAGTGGACCGAGAATAGATCCCTGTGGTACTCCCCTCGTCACAACTCTCCAATCAGACAGAATCACTCCTTCAACCCCAGCCAGTCTAACTGCCTGCTGTCTCTCACAAAGGTAACTTCTGAGCCAGTCCTGCTCCCCAATGTTATAATACTGTAACTTTGCAAGTAGAAGATTTAAGTCTAAACTGTCAAATGCTTTAGTCATGTCTACCAAAACTGAGGGACAACAATGTGACTGATCGAAAGCAGCCGAAATGTCACTAGTTATTCTAAGTAAGGCAGTGGCACAGCTATAATGTGATCTGAAACCAGACTGAAATTTTGGTAGTATATTTGTAAGAGACAAAAACTGCACAATCTGACATTTAACCACCTTTTCAAGAATTTTTGAGGCAGCAGGCAGTATGCTTATTGGCCTCAATTCATTAACGCCCGAAGGATTATTTACCTTAGGAAGTGGGGTGATGAGAGCCATTTTCCAGATGCTCGGAACCATACCAGTTTGTAAGGAAAAATTTATAATATTTACTAGTGGCCCCAGACAATATGGTAAACATACTTTTAACATTTTTATAGAGATCTGATCCACACCAATAGCATTACTTTTAATACTTTTAATACATGCTAAAATATCATCATCAGTCACAAGGTTAAAATGAAATGGCTCCCAATCTGCACTTGAACCGAGGAAACAATTTAAGACTTCTGGATCAACACTAGTTTGAGGTATATTATCCAAAAAATGATTATTTATTACATTAGGTTCTCTAAAATTATTTAGAATATCTTTAGTGTTTTTAGGTGTAATATTCAGTTTTGACATTTTATCCCAAATTAGCTTGCTTTTATTTGTACCAGTACATTCATTTAATTCTTTTGAAAAATATGCCTTTTTTTCGGCCTTAACTGCATGAGCTATATAATTTTTTAGCTGAAGGTAGTACTGTTTACTTTCAAAGGACCTTATTGTTTTATATTTAGAAAATGCTTTATGTTTTAGTTCAATCATTTTTTTTAAATTATATGTAAGCCAGGGAGGTTTTGATTTCCTCAGTTCAATTTTTTTGAGAGGACAATACACATCAAACAAATCTAAGAAACTACTATTAAAAATATGGACCTTAACATCAATATCACAAGAAACATAAAGGTTATGCCAATCTATATTCCGTAATTCTGCCTGAAATTGCTCAGTGTGTGCCATTTTTAGGCTTCTACTTTCTACAATCTTATTAACATGTCTGGGCTTTTCAAACTTCAAAGAACAATAAACAGCCTCATGGTCGGTTTGTATAGGGTCACATGGTACCACGCCACCATCGATAATCAGTTCAGGTTTGTTTACATAAATTAAATCTATTAGAGATTCATGGTTTGGCGCAATTCTAGTTGGATCTTTAATTAGTTGACTAAAATTAAATGAAGTAAAAATATCACAGAGAAATGTATAATCCACACCAGCCTGAGGCAAAAAATTTATATTAAAGTCTCCCATACACACACATATATCACATTTAAAAATTATATCAGGTAGCATATCATAAAGGAACTGTAACCCTGCATATGGAACAGAAGGTGGGCGATAAACAACACCCACACTGGCACACAGTTTGTTGTGTTTAAAGGTAACCCAGAGCACATCTATTCCATTATCCATATCTGGAGTTATGATTGACACTATGTGCAACCTACTGGAAACATAGATTGCAACACCCCCTCCCCTACCAGTCCTATCGTTTCTGTATAATGTAAAATTTTCTATAGCATATAAATGAGAGGGTATGTCGGTATTTAGCCATGTCTCCGAAATTGCAACAATGTCAAAATCAGATTGGAGAATATAATATTTGATATCAGAAAATTTATTGCAGATCGACCAGGGGTTTATATGAACAACTTTCAGAGAGCTTACATCAATCAAAGATCATTTCTAATATTTTCATTACAAAACAGGAGAGCTACCGATTTGTTAGGATTTATTTTAAGCAAATGTTTATTTGATTCATCAAGCAATGATTTCAGATCTTCATTGATCAGCTTATTGGCTGCAGCTACTTCTGAAGGTTTGAAAGATAAATAGATTTGCGTATCGTCTGCGTATAAGTGGTATTGACAAAATTTTAATGATTTTATAAAGTTAGAGGTGAATATACTATACAGAAGAGGACCCAAAATACTACCCTGAG